ATATAAAAAATTCCATACCCTTACACCTTCTTTATAGTTTTGATGTCACATTTTTGTAACTTTTTACATTGTATATTCATTAATAAATTATTGTAGCTATAGTTATTTTAAATATTTTTGTCTTTTAACCTTTATACCAGAGTTTTAAGTGATTTACACATCACTAAGAGAATATTAAGACTATTCTGTATTTGACTATGTACTTACCTTTACCAGTGAATTTTATACTTTCATATGTTTTCATGTTACTAATTAGCATATTTTAATTTCAGCTTGAAGAACTCCCTTTAACATTACTTATATGGCAGTTCTAGTGGTGTTGAACTCCCTCTGCTTTTGTTTGGGAAAATCTTTATCTCTCCTTTATTTCTGAAGGACAGATTGTCAGGTAAAATATTCTTGGTTGGCAGTTTTTTTCTTTCATTACTTTGTATCATTACACTTTCTACTGGCCTGCAGAGAAATCTGTGGATAGCCTTGTGGAGTTCACTTATACATCATGAACCTTTCTTCTCTTCTGCTTCTAGCATTCTGCCTTTTTCTTTGATTTTTGATAGTTTGACTATATCTTTTTTTTTTTAATCATTTTCACATTTTGCTTACACGTGTATACATTGTTTGGGCCTCCCCCTCCGCCCTACCCCGCTTCCCTCATGCACTTTTGAACAGAACCTTTTCTGTTCTCTTGTTCTCTGATTTTGTTGAAGAGAAAACATAAGAGATAATAAGAAAGACATAGCGTTTTTGCTAGTTTGAGATAAAGATAGCTATACAAAGAGATTCCTAGCGTTGCTTCCATGCACTTGTATATTGAAACCCACATTGGTTCATCAATGCCAGACCTCTTCATTACTTCCTGGTCACCTTCCCATAGTGGCCTCTGCCAGTTTAAGATTACTTCATTCACTCCACTACAGTGAACACATCAACCACATTCAAGTTTTAGGTTTCTGATTATGTCTTTGAAGTCTTTGTTGGGAACTTTATTGAAGAGGTTTGAGCTTCATACACATGGATGTTCATCTCAGATATCAGAAGTTTGGGGCCATTATTTCTTCAAATAAACTTTATTCCTCTTTTTCTCTCTTCTCATTCCAGGATTCTCACAGTGTGACTATTATAATTTTTTGATGGTGTCCCTTAAATCTTATAGACTTTCTTTATTCCTTTACATTTTTTTTTCCAAATCACCTCCTTTTGAGCACACAGATTCTTTTTTCCACTTGATTTAATCTAGTGTTGATATTCTCTGATGCACTTTTTAATTTTTTTTATTATTATTGTATTGGGAATACAATGTGACATTTACAAAAGTTCTTACAGTATATCATAGTTGAATTCACCCCCTCCATCATTCTCCTTTATCCTCCCTCCGCCCAGTCCTGCAATAATTTCAACGGGTCTCATTTTTCCATTTACATACATGTATACATAATATTTCCACCATAGTCACCCTCCTACACCCTTTCCTTATATCCTCTCACACTGGTACCAATCCCCAGACAGGACCTGTTTTACCTTCCTGTTCTCCATTTTTGAAAAAAAGACATTTTTGTCTGTTTAAGATAGCAGTTTCATTGTGACATTTCCATGTATATATGTATCATAACCAAAATTGGTTCATCCCTCTATTTTTCTTCTTTCTACCTTAATCCCCTTCTTATCATGATTTCAACAGGTCTAAAAATTCTATATTCAATCTTGTATAGAAAGTACATCAACCATATTCACCTTCTTCACTTCCTCCTTTTACCCCACCTTTCTCTTATGTAACCTCCCCTTAGCATGACCTGTTTTTCATAATATTGTTGTATTTGTATTAGGTCTGTATTCCACATATGAGCAAAACCATGCAACCTTTGACTTTCTGACCCTGGGTAACTTCATTTAAGGTGATCTCCAGTTGCATCATTTACCTGCAAATGACAAAATTTCATTCTACTTTATGGCTGAATAAAATTCCATTCATTTTATTTATTACATTCATCACCTCTAGAACTTCTGTTTTGTTTTGTTTTGTGTGTACACATGATCTCTATTTTTTTATTGAACTTTTCATTTTGTTCATGTCATATATTGTTTTTCTGATTTCAATGAGTCCATCTGTGCTTTCTTGTAGCTCCCTTAGCTTCCTTTAACTCTTTTTTCTTTTCTTTCTTTCTGTTTTTGAACCCAGGTCTCATGCATCCTAAGCTCATTCTCTACTACTGAGTTAGACCTCATAAGAAACAATTATATTTAATTCTTTTGTCAGGCTTTTCATAGATCTCCATTTGGTGGTATTGGTTACTTTGGAATATTACTGTGTTCCTTTGGTGGTTTCATGTTTTCTTATTTCTTGAAGTCTTGTATTGCTGTGTTCACATTTGAAGAAGCAATTACCTTCTGTAGTCTTTATTTACAGTCTCCTGGAGAGATAACATCTTCAACAAAGAGCCTGGCTAGAGATTTGCAACTCTTACCAGATGTTGACTATGGGTATGTCTTCATACTTCTTGTTCTGTCTTGGGGAGAAATTCTCAAGATTCTGTGTCCTCTCTGTATTCTACAAAGCCATTCTTGGTACTGAGAGCCTCTTGTTTGTTTTCCCTAGGGTGGTCTCCTAAAATGCTTAAGCTGTGTGCTGCTTTCTTTTCTTGCAAATTTGAGCTAGATTTCTGTTTAGACACTTGTACATGCTGTCCATGGGATCACACTTAGGCTGCTGGCCTTAGGGAGTGGAGAGGAGGCATGCAGAGTTTTGAGATTTGCATGGGCCTCTTATGAGAGGGTTCACAGGCAAAATACCCAAGTATCTCATGAGTAGGTTTTCTAATGAAATCAGTAAAGCAGTTAGTTAGGACTGTGGCCTTTCTTCTCTTCTTCTATCATCTCCCAACCACTTAAGCCATGCCTATCACCTTAGTATTCTAGATGGGATAAGAAAGAAGTGGGCCTCTTGGACAGTGTCACACAGAGCTAAGGGAGCCTTTTATCTCATTTTGCTCTGCGAGAGCAATCATAGACTGAGAGAGTCTCTTTTTTTGTTGAGCCATGCTGCTTTTAAGAGGTATAATACAGGTTAAATTAAACTGTTCTTAACACCCTTCTGATGCACCTGTTCTCAAATTTTTTTTTGTTGCTGTTGTTCCAGTGATGTGCTGGAACTCCACTGGAGTCCCAGACTCTCACAGAGATGCTCTCATCTATAGGGAGTTATCAAAGTCAATGCTTCTATGGGAGGTGATATTACAGAGCTCCTCTTCTGCCATCTTGTTCATGTTACTCCAACATTACCTCTTCTCAAAGTTCATTGGAGCAGTAAAAGCTGAACACAACTTCAGCATTAAACAAAGAAGAATTTATTCCTATTTTCATAATACAGTATAGTGGGTTAAGAAAAACAACCAGAGTAGTTTTGTCTTTCCTGCCAAATATTACTATACATAATTAATATATTATAGCTGAGTAAGCAAAAGAGTCTAAGCAAAAAATGCTGCATTAAATTCCAAAGCATTATAATAAAAAATGAGAAAAGAACTATATTGGATAATTATGAAAAAAATCCTAGTAAGATTCCCAGAAATTGATGGTAATATTATTAAAGAGAATCTTATAAAATAAATACAGTTTCACCATTTCAGGAAAAATTTGTTATATTTATTACTTACTTCTGTGCTCAGTAAAACAAAATGTGTCATTAACCTGAGCCTAAAAATAACATTAATTTCTTACTGAGTCTAACGTTTAGTCTTCCTTCTTTTCCATACCTTAGCTCTGCAGAAACCTGGTTTCTAAGATCTTCACTGGAACTTATGCATATGATTTTATTTATCTGCTCTATTTTCTTTACTAAAAGTTGTCTTTATTTCAGAGAGAAAGTTTTTCAGCTTAAATACGATAAGGTCAGAGTATTTTAAACTTCATAAAGTAAAGGTTTCAAAGAAAATTTTGTTAGGCCTGGTGGCTCATGCTGTGATCCCAACTTCTTGAGAGTCCATCAGTAGGAGGATCACGGTCTGAGGCAAGCCTGAGTAAAAATGTGAGACCCTACCTGAACAGTAACTAAAAGTAAAAAGGTCCTGTGGGCATAGCTCAAGTGGTAAAGTGCCTATCTAGCAAGCTTGAGGTCCTGAGTTCAAAACCCCAGTTTGGCCAAAAAGAAAATCATTTAATTCATAATTTTAATCAATAATTGATATATTTATGATAATAGCTTTTCTACATGCTATTTTCTTTATAATAAATTCACATTTATTTGTTTTTCTAATGTACCACTCTAAAGTCATGATATGTACTATTTTTATTACTATTATTATTTTTCACTTTACCTTAAAAATACAAATTTCTATGATAAAATGAAAACGCTCAAGTTATTATTATATGCGTTCATTCACAAAATAACATTAGATATTGTTTTAATTATTCAAGTTTAATATATTTCATAGTTATCTTTGGTTCATTGCTCTCTAAGAACTGCTCATATTTAATGCTATAATTACTTTGATTTGCTGATCTCATAAGAATCTATTTCCATGTTAAAACCAAGTTCAAGGAATGTGGTATGTTTAAGGTAGGTACAAAAATTGAGTTTTGTTTTTTTAAAAAAATCTACATTTCTCTGTTTGATGTAGCAGAATTTTTGTATCAGCTTCAGTAGCATATATAGAATTTTTTATTTGTTATACAAAGTCATTGTTTCAAATCTCCTTAAACTTCTATACATTTTTAAACAGTTACCTCTGCTATAATTGTTTTTGATCTAAGATAACATTGTAAATATCTATTGGAAGTACCTGAAAATCTTAAACCTTGAAACTGCTCAGCATAATCATTGCATAAGCAATGAAAATAAATAAGAAACTTAAAAAAAAAAAAAGGAAAGAAGCCTACAAATCTAGGTGTAAAATCTCAGGGAATAGTATGTATATGAATTATAAATTTGCTATGGATGAATACTACTGAATTATTATTCGTTAGCAGATCATTCCATTTTTTTCTCTTCTGCTTTATTTGTCCAGGTGGGGTAAAACCTTGTGCATTAAACTGCTTGGCTGAAGGTTACAATTTCTACACTGAACGTGCCCCAGCAGTGATTGATGGAACCCAGTGCAATGCAGATTCACTGGATATCTGTATCAATGGAGAGTGCAAGGTTGCTTGAATTTTATTCCTCTTTGTTGGTTTTATTTTTTTTTTTTAGAACTTTTTTTCTCAGATAGTAGCTGTTGCTTAATTCTATGTTCAGGTTTTTTAAAAGGGAGAAAAACTTTAAAGAAATTCAGTTTTTCATCAAGGCCGACAGTATATGTAGTTAAAGGCAGTATGTTCCATTCATATTCAACCACTGTGCTAATGTGATTTATTCTCATACTCCAGTCATGTATATAGCAATTGCCATGGGTATGAAAATATTTTGGTCTTTTATTTCATTATTCTTTCTGTTTATAAATAAAATGGTAGAAAAAGAAAGGGGCAAGTATTCAGCTGTATTTCATATGGCTACCATATGTTCTTATTGGAAGATTTTATATATTTCATAGCATAATTTTTCCTCAAAGTGTGAAAAAGCTATGCTCCTCCTACTTTATCTCCTTTTGAAACATTTATGATGGTTTTCATTATAGAGTTAGTCTTTATCTTATTAAATCATTTACTTTAGGGAATTAGTCAGACTACTTGGGAATTGTAGGAGCAAATCCATGCTATTTTCTTAAATCTTTGTATGACTCTTATCATAATAAGAAAAGCCACAAAACCACTCTTCTCATAACTTTTTTTTTTTTTTGCTTATTTGGTTTTGTTTTACTTTGAAGAGAACATAACTAAGTGTTATAAACTGAGAAAGAAGAGATAAAAGCACGGTCTATTTTGCTTAGTCTCAACTTTGCCTGGAAAAGTTCCTATCCTACTGGTTACTTACGTGTGGAGCTGATGATCCAGTTTTTGTGTGTGCATGTGGTGTGTATGTGTATGTGTGTATGTTTGGGTATACTTGTGTGTGTATGCAGGGATACTTAACCTCCTTGAATAAAAAGTTATTTTTGTGATGGTATTCAAGTTTTTCAGTAACAAGGACTCATCTACAGGTTTTATCTAGGGATTAAATGCCTAAAATCAGTAGCTAAATGTCAGATGTACAAAATTCAAGTATCAAAATATGTACCAAATATATATTAAAAATCCACTTTTTTATAATTAAATACAAAATTGAAAGGTAAAATTTCAGCTTTTTAAATGGCATGCTTACATCACCATTTTGTTTGTGGCAAAGGGAAACAGATACTCATTTTTAAAGATTTTTAAACTAATCTCCAGCACTTAACAATTCAATATCTAGAAAGAGATAATGGTTTAGGAAAGGCAAAACATAATGTTCATGCAGCCATTAAGCCATCTTTCTTATTTCTTGAATTTCTAGATTGAGGGTATCAGTAAGAGCCTATAGTTAACAAATTATAACATTTTAAGAATTAGAATATGATACCTATAAATGAAAGAAGTTTAGGTAAGAAATATAGGCATACTTTCCTAGGGACTTACTGGAGAGTGAAGGTAGATGGGAAAGTATTTTCTGTTTTCATTTCCTTTACTGGAAAAGCAAGGAAATAAGAAATCTTTATGTATTTGATTATGGTTCCATAATTTTCCTTTTGACACTGAATGTTCTCTATTTTCAGCATGTAGGTTGTGACAATATTTTGGGATCTGATGCCAGGGAAGATAGATGTCGAGTCTGTGGAGGGGATGGAAGCACATGTGATGCCATTGAAGGGTTCTTCAATGACTCGTTGCCCAGAGGAGGTGAGTGTGTAGACACAATTCTTATTCTGGAATATTAAAAGATTTGATTTCCCTTCCCCGCTTATTTTTAAATTTCTTTCTTTCTTTTTTTTTCTTAGAAGATAATGTTTTCTTTCTCCAAGTTGATTTCAGTCCTTTAAGTATTTTTTTATATTTTTTTTTCTTTCTCACATATTCATATATACTTACATTGTTTGGGTCATTTCTCCCCCCTGCCTCCTCCATTGCCCTTACCGCCTTGCTTCCAGGCAGAACCTGTTCTGACCTTTTCTCCAATTTTGTTGGAGACAAAAGCAGTAATAAGGAAGATAAAGCATTTTGCTAGTTGAGATAAGGATAGCTATACAGAGAGATTCCTAGCATTGCTTCCATGCACAAGTGTATTACAACCCGAATTGATTCATCTCTACCTGACCGCTTCACTATTTCCTGGTCACCTCCCCATATTGACCTCTGTTGCTTTAAGGTTTCTGTATTAACTTCTCTGCAGTGGAGACATCAAACACTTTAAAGTTTTGGGTTTTCTACCTGTCTCCATTCCTCCCGTATGTGCTTTCTCCTTAGCGTGTGACCCAAGTCCAACAACATTACTGTCTTTGCCCTAGATCTAAAGTCTGCATATAAGGGAGAACATGCAATTTTTGGTCTTCTGAGCCTGGCTAACCTTGCTCAGGATGATGTTCTCCAGTTCCGTCCATTTACCTACAAATTATAAGATTTTATTCTTCTTCATGGCTGAGTAAAACTCCATTGTGTATAGATACCACATTTTCTTAATCCATTCGTCAGTAGTGGGGCATCTTGGCTGTTTCCATAACTTGGCTATTGTGAATAGCGCTGCCATAAAAGTGTGCAGGTGCCTCTGGAGTAACCTGAGTCGCATTCCTTTGGGTATATCCCCAGGAGTGGGATTGCTGGATCATATGGCAGATCTATGTTTAGTTTTATAAGAAGCCTCCGTATTGTTTTCCAGAGTGGTTGCACTAGCTTGCACTCCCACTAGCAGTGTACAAGGGTTCCTTTTTCCCCACATCCTCGCCAACACCTGTTGTTGGTGGTGTTTTTGATGATAGCTATTCTAACAGGGATGAGGTGGAATGTTAGTGTGGTTTTGATTTGCATTTCCTTTATGGCCAGAGATGGTGAGCATTTTTTCATGTGTTTTTTGGCCATTTGAATTTCTTCTTTTGAAAAAGTTGTTTGGTTCAGTTGCCCACTTCTTAATTGGTTCATTGATTTTGGAAGAGTTTAGTTTTTTGAGCTCCCTGTATTTTCTGGTTATCAGTCCTTTGATGTATAGCTGGCAAATATTTTCTCCCACTGTGAGTGGTCTCTTCAGTTTAGAGACCATTTCTTTTGTTGTGCAGAAGCTTTTTAATTTTACGAAGTCCCATTTGTCCATTCTTTCTCTTAGTTGCTGGGCTTCCTGGGTTCTATTGAGGAAGTCCTTGCCTATACCTATTACTTCCAGAGCGTTTCCTGCTCCTTCCTATACTAACTTCAGAGTTTCTGGTCTGATATTAAGGTCCTTGATCCATTTGGAGTTGATACTCGTACAGGGTGATAAACATGGATCTAGTTTCAGTTTTTTGCAGATGGTTGACCACTTTTCCCAGCAACATTTGTTGAAGAGGCTGTCTTTTCTCCATCATATGTTTTTGGTGCCTTTGTTCAAAGTAATGTGCACATAGCTACGTGGTTTCATATCTGGGTCCTCTATTCTGTTCCAGTGGCCTTCATATCTGTCTTTGTGTCAGTGCTATGCTGTTTTTATTGCTTTTGGTTTGTAGTATAGTTTGAAGTTGGGTATTGTGATACCTCCAGCATTGCTCTTTTTGCTGACTATTGCCTTGGCTATTTGTGGTCTTTTGTGTTTCCAAATGAACTTTAGGGTAGATTTTTAAATCTCTGTGATGAAAGTCATTGGGATTTTGATGGGAATTCCATTAAACATGTAGATTGCTTTTGGTAGTATAGCCATTTTTACTATGTTGATTCTACCAATCCATGAGCATGGGAGATCTTTCCACCTTCTGTAGTCTTCCTTGATCTCTTTTTTCAGCGGTTTGTAATTCTCCTTGTAGAGATCATTCACATCCTTTGTTAAGTTTACTCCTAGGTATTTGATTTTTTTTGAGACTATTATAAATGGAATTGTTTCTATATATTCCTTCTCAGTTTGTTCATTGTTGGTGTATAGAAAAGCTAATGATTTTTGTAAGTTATATATCCTGCCACCTTGCTATAGCTGTTTATGGTGTCTAGGAGTTTTTGGGTAGAGTTTTTTGGGTCTTTAAGATATAGGATCATGTCATCTGCAAATAGAGATATTTTGACAGTTTCTTTACCTATTTGTATTCCTTTTATTTTTTGTTCTTGCCTATTTGCTCTGGCTAGGAATTCCAGGACTATGTTGAATAGGAGTGGGGATAGTGGGCACCCTTGTCTCGTTCCTGATTTTAGGGGAAATGGTTTCAGTTTTTCTCCATTAAGTATGATATTGGCTATAGGTTTGTCATATATAGCCTTTACAATGTTGAGGTACATTCCTTCTATTCCTAGTTTTCTTAGAGCTTTTATCATGAAGTGGTGTTGGATCTTATCAAAAGCTTTTTCTGCATCTATTGAGATGATCAAGTGGTTTTTGTCTTTGCTCTTATTAATGTGCTGTATTACATTTATAGATTTGCATATGTTGAAGCACCCCTGCATCCGAGGGATGAAGCCGACTTGGTCATGGTGAATGATCTTTCTGATATGTTGTTGGATTCGGTTTACCATTCTTTTATGGAGGATTTTTGCATTGATGTTCATTAAGGAGATTGACCTATAGTTCTCTTTTTTGGAGGTGTCTTTGTCTGGTTTTGGGATGAGTGTAATACTGGCTTCATTTAATGAGTTAGACAGTGTTCCTTCCCTTTCTATTTCATGGAACAGTTTAAGGAGAGTTGGTATTAATTCTTCCTTAAAGATCTGATAAGATTCAGCTGAGAATCCATCAGGTCCTGGACTTTTCTTTTTTGGGAGACTCTTTGTTGCTGATTCAATTTCATTTTGAGTTACAGATCTATTCAGGTGATTAATATCCTCTTAGTTCAATTTTGGGTGGTCATAAGTATCTAGAAATTTGTCCATTTCTTCAAGATTTTCAAATTTATTGGAATACAGGTTCTCAAAGTAGTTGCGATGATTCCCTGGATTTCTGTGGTGTTTGCATCCCTTTTGCATTTCTGATTTTACTGATTTGGTTTTTTCTCTCCTCATTTTAGTCAGGTTTGCCAGGGGTCTGTCAATTGTGTTTATTTTTTCAAAGAACCAGCTTTTGTTTCATTGATTCTTTGTACAGTTTTTTTTTTGTTTGTTTGTTTCTATTTCATTAATTTTGGCCCTTATTTCTTATTTCCTCTCCTTCTGCTTATTTTGGGTTTTGCTTGTTCTTGTTTTTCTAGGAGTTTGAGATGTAGCATTACATTATCGATTTAAGATATTTCTGTCCTTTTAATATATGCACTCATGGCTATAAACTTTCCTCTTAGGTCAGTCCTTTAAGTATTAAATATGCCTTCATGCAAAGTATTTTAAGTAAATATTATTCTTTACCTACTTGACTTTATTTATTCATCTTTACTGCCTTTTTGTTGTTGTTGTGCTGATGATAGAACCTAAACCTTCTTTCATGATAGAAGGCACTCTACCACTTGAGCCATTCTGCCAGCCCTTTTTTGTGTTGGGTATTTTCAACAAAGGATCTTTCAAACTATTTGCCCACTGTCATGTTTCAGAGCATTGGATATGAGAGTTTGGTGTTGAAGGAAAAAACAGATGAACCCAACATGTTGAGAGTTGAAAAATAACTTGACATAATTTTAGAGAGAAAAAATACTTTTCCTCTAAAATATATTTATGAGTCCAAAGGGAATTTGCCCATACTTCATAATTTATGAAGTACAAAGACAAAGAAAGAATGGAAGAGTTAAGGAAACTCGCCTTGCCAGATGATTACCAAACACTCCTTTTCTAGTTGAGGCTGCTTATTGCTGGCTGTCTTCTGTGTTCCAGGCTACATGGAAGTGGTGCAGATACCAAGAGGCTCTGTTCACATTGAAGTCAGAGAAGTTGCAGTGTCAAAGAACTATATTGGTAAGTTATTGTGTTAGATTTTAGCAATTAATGAAAAGCAGCACAGTGTCATGAAGCAACAGACATACTGCGTTGAGGTAGAACACTTTCATGCTGAAATGAAGGAAGTTCCAAGTTTTATAGGACCACATGTAAAGCGATAAAGCAGTAAAATTAGTAGTTTACAGATTACTTTCACTATATTAACTTTGATTTTTAAACTCGATTTTATTGAGATATAACTTACATATAATAAAATGCACTCATTATAACTGTTCAGTTCATAGAGTACAACCACAACCAAGATATAGAACATTTTTGTGATTTCAGAACTCTTTAATGAATAGTATTCCATTGTGTTGATGTACCATAGTTTCTTTATTCAGTTACTGATGGATATTTGAGTCATATTTCTAATCTTTAACTATTACGAGTAAAGCTTCTTGGAGCATTTATAAGCAAGCTTTATGTGAGCATGCATTTTCATTTCTTCTGGATAAATACCTAGAGGTAAAATGGCTGTGTCATATGACAAATACATATTTAACTTTATAAGAAAATACTAAAGTGCAGCCATTATGGCAAACAGAATAGAGGTTCCTCAAAAAATTAAAGCCAGGAACATCATATAATCCAGCATTTCTGGGTATATATCCAAAGGGAAATAAAATCACTAGCTCAAAGAGATACTGTACTTCCATCTTCACTGCAGCCTTATCCACAAAAGTCAAGATATGCAAACAACCTAAGAGTTAGTTTAAAAATGAATGATATGTATTTTTTAAATTATATATATATATATATATATATATATATGTTACAGGCTGGGTGTAATGGCTCAAACCTATAATCCTAGCTACTCAGGAGGCAGTGATCAGGAAGATTATGGTTTGAAACCAGCCTAGACAAAAAGTTTGCGAGACCCCCATCTCAACCAATGGCTGTGTGAGGAGGTGCACGCCTGTCATACCTACCTATGTGGGGAAACACAAATAGAAGAATCACAGTCCAGATCAGCGGGGCATAAAATGAGACACTCTCTCAAAAATAACCAAAGCAAAAAAAGGTGGCAGCATGGATCAAGTGGTAGATAGCCTACCTGCCTAAAGAAAAAAGTTGTATGTACACAACAGAGTATCATTTTTTCCTTTAAAAACAACTTAATTCTGCCATTCGTGACAACATGAAAGCTCATAAGCTATACACAGAAGGATATATACCACATGAATGCATAGGATCTAAAATAGTCAAACTCATAGAAACAGAGAGTACTAGGGTGTTTACCAGGAATGATAAAATGGAGAAATGTTGTTCAACAAGTACAAGCTTTCAGTTATGAGATGAATACGTTCTAAAGATCTAATAAACTGTTGTAATGATGAGGTATTATTATCACCACACACCCCCAAAAGGCAATAAATAGGTTGTGTGATAATAAATAAGTTTATTGACTTGAATGTGGTCATCACTTTACTTTGCATACCACATCATCACATTGTGTACCTTAAGTTCATTCAGTTTTGTCAATTGTACTTCAATAAAGCTGGATAAAGAAAGAAATTACTATTTTCCAAAGTGAATGCATATCATTTTATATTCCTACCAATAATGTAGAAGATGTCCAGTTGATCTACATCCTTGTCAATACTTGGTATTGTCAGGCTTTTTACCCAAATGGATAGTGTGTGTGTGTGTGTGTGTGTGTGTGTGTGTGTGTGTGTGTGTGAAGTGTCTAAACAAATATTGTACTTGTTTAAATTTTTTTCTTTTTGGTTTTCTGAGATGTGGTCTTGCTATCCAGCAACTTAGGCATCCTAGAACTTGCTATGTTGTCCAAGGAGGCCTTGAAATCATGATCCTCCTGCTCTATTAAAATTTTCTTTGAATTACGAATCCTTTATATATCTTATTATATATAACAAGTCTTTGTTAGATACATGTTTCATAGATATTTTCTCCTACTTTGTGGATTGCTTATTCATTTTAAGTAACAGTTATTTGTGATGAAATCCAATTTATTAAATGTTTTATGACTTGTATTTCCATGTCCTATATTAGAAGTTTTGCCTAGTTTAAGGTTGCAAACATGTCTTCGGTGTCTCTTCAAAAAGTTACACTTTTAAGGGACTGTGGCATCATTCAGTGGCAGTGTGCATGCTTAGCGTGTGTATAACCCTTTTTCATAACCCAGCAACAACAGAGAAAACATAGTTACAGTTTTAGCTTTTATATGAAATATATGGCCATTTGGGTTAATTTTTATATAAGGTATAAAGTAAGGTTCATATTTTTAAAAGGCTGTCACTCCCTCCCCCACACACACTGAGTTACCTTGATACCTTTGTTAGAGATCAACTGGGCATGGATATATGAGTCTATTTCTGTTTTCAACTGTTAATCTATGTGTCTATCCTTAAATACCTTACTATACTGATTAGTGGAGCTTTTTAGTCAGTCCTGAAATTCAGAAGCATTATTAAATACTCAAATTTTACTTTTTCAAAATTATTTTTGCTTTTCTAAGTTTTTTACATTTCTGTATACATTTTAGAATCCATCTGTAAATTTCTACAGGAGGAAGGAAGACAGTATGGAATCTATAGATCCGTTTTTGTAGAACTAACATCTTAAAAATATTGACATTTCCAATAATAAAAATGATTTACCTGTACTTTATTTCAGTCTTCTTGGCCTGGATTATTATTTATTTATTTATTATATGATTTTTATTATGATATATTTGTTATACAGAGGGAATTTATAGTAACAATTCCAATTATGCTTATATTGTACATTGGTTAGATCACCTCACTGTTTCAGTCTTCTTTGGATTTTTTGCACCAATGTTTTATTTTCAGTGTATAGGTCTTACACATATGTCTTATTAAATCTATCACTTCTACTTTAGAAAAAGATTTTTTCCCATGCTAGTATCATACCTAGGACCATGCACTTGCTAGGCAGGCACTCTGCCACTGAGCTACATCATCATGCCTTTGTTTCCTGTTTTCTGATGATTTTATAAATAATATTTATATTTTAATTTCATTTTCCTATTTTATTTTCATTATATAGTAATTCAGTTAATTTCTTTTTATACCGTCCTCATATTCTGAGACCTGATTGCACTTACAACTTAATACTTGCTTTGTGAATTCATAGATTTTTACTTAGATCATCATGTTCACATTGAGCAAAGGCACCTTTACTTTTCTATTTCCAATCTTTATGCCTTTAATTCTTTTAAGTTTCCTTTATAATAGTGTTGAGAGCCTTCACTACAATGCTGCTGATCTTAAGGAAAAAACATTATTTTACCATTACATCTAATATTAGCTAAAAGATTTAGGTAGATGGTACTTTATCAGGTTAAGGATGTTCTTTTTATTTCAATTTTTTAAGAATTTTATTCATGAATAAATGTTTTCTGAATCTATTGATATGATTTTATGTGGGTTTTCTTCTACTTATATAGTAAATACATTGATTTTTTTACTTTTAACTCTAACTCATATTCTTCTATCTCAAAACCACTTACTTATGATATATTATCCTTATATGTTGCTGGAATTGATTTGTTAATGTTTGGACCAACATTCATGGGAAATATTAGTGTCTCAAGTCTGTTCTTATGACATCTCTGTTGATATTGGTACTAGGATAAACTTTGTTTCATAAAATTAGTTGGGAAATTTTGCTTTCTCCTCTATTTTCTGAAAGAATCTGGGTAAAATTGATACTATATTAAAATGTTTGATAGGATTTAAGTGTGAAGACATTTGAGCTGGAGTTTGATTTTTGGGAAGTTTTTTCAAAGAGTGAACTTACAGTTCAAGTGATCTTTATTGTTTGTCCATTTTCCATCACATTGATTCCTACTCAAAAAATTTCCATTTTTCTGTTCACTTTGAGTTTAATTTTTTCTTGTTTTTTGAGCTTCTCAAGATAGAAAATTAGATTATTAATTTTTATATGCTTTTCAGAATGAAATTATTACTTTTCACTGTAAATTTCCCTCTAATCACTGCTTTAACTCCACACATATTTTGGCAGTACCAGAATTTGAACTCAAGGCATGGCACTTGCCTAATAGGCTCTGTACCACTTGAACCACACCTCTAACTCCACAAATATTTTGATATGTTGTATTTTCATTATCACTAAATTAAAAATATTTTTTCATTTATATTGTAACCAATGTCTTAAAAAGTATTATTTGATTTCCAAATATTTAAAGGTTTCCCTGTTAGTTTTCTGTTACTGACTTCTAGTTTAATTCTATTATAGGCAGAGAACGTGATTTGTATGATTTTAGGTTTTTGTTGGTATTGAAGTTTGTTTGATTGCCCAATACATGCACACTTGAGAAAAATGTATATTCCAGTGTTACAGAGTTTAATATTCATAACTGCAGTTAATTACATTACATTGATCGGAGAGTTTTGTTCAAGTCTTTTACACCTTTACATGTTTTCTGCTTTCTTGTTAGGTAGTTACTGAGAGAGTCATATTGAAGTCTCTAATTAGAATTGTGGAATTTTTTTATTTCTTCCATTACTTTGCAATATTTTGAAACATTGTTAGGTTATATACATTTAAGTGTGTTATATCTTCTAAAATGTATTGAGCATCTTATCAGTATCATATGTTTCTCTTTATTTCTAAAAATATTCTTTAACTTAATTTCAATTTTGTCTAATACTAATCTAGCTACCCCATCTGTCTTCTGATCACTGTTTGCATGGTAAATCTTCTTACGTATATCTACTTTCCATATGTAGGTACCACTGTATTTAAATATATTTCTTGTAGACTATATGTAGTTTGATCTTGATTTACTATTATATCTAACAGTCTTTGCATTTTTTTAAACTGCATTGTCTAGATTGGGGGGAGGGGGCACAGCAGCACTTTTTCTGTAAAAGACCAGACAGTAAATATTTTCAGCTTTGTAGGACATATAGTCTCTGGAAAAATTAGTTAGTTCTGCCATTGTAGTGTGAAAGCAGACATAGATAATATAAATGGTTATTATTGTGTTCCAATAAAACTTTATCTCCAAAAATAGATGGTGGGCCATAGTTTGCTGACTCCTTGTTTAGATCATTTATATTTAATGTAGTTACTAATATCACTGAGTTTAAGCCTGTCATCATGCTATTTTTCTATTTGCCCTATTTTATTCTCCTTTTATATTATCTTTCAGATTAATTAAGTGTTTTATAGTATTCCATTTGATCTGTACTAATTGCTAATTAGTTTTATTAGCTAACTATTAACTGTACCTGTGTTGTATTTAATTAAAAGTTGCTCTAGGATCTACATTCAGATAATATTACACCATCTTGTTTGTAATATAAGACTCTTGCAGCAATATACCCCCATTGTCCTCTACCATCCAGTGTGCTATTTTTAGCTATCTTCTACTTTTCTGTAAGTTATTATAAGCTCAACAAAATATTATTGTTTTTGTTTCAAAGAGCCAGTTATTGGGCTCAGAATGTAGCTCACAAGCTCTGGGTTTGATACCAAGCACCCCTTTCCCCAAAAAAGCAATTATCTTTTTGTTGTTTTCATGGTACTGAAGTTTGAACTCAGGGCCTCATGTTTGTTTGGCAGGCGCTTTATCACTTGAGTCAATCTGTCAGCCCAGTATAGCCTTTATTCTCTAGCTCAGTTCTGCTATATAGGCGTGGTTCTTAAGTCTTTACTGAATGCCCTAGTCGTGGGAATGCAGTGATTCTCCTTATAGTTCACTAAAGTTGTTTGCCTGTCATCATAGAATTTTTTCATACGTGCATGCAGGTTAGCAACAGATTTCCCTCCCTCTACTCTGGTTCTCTGGTCCTACAAATTCTAGGTATCTCAGCCTTAACTGGTTTCTGATGTGTCTTCTTAACTCAAGGAGACCACCATACACTGCTTGGGTTCTTTGTTTCTACACTGACAGAATGTGGCTCCGGCAGAAAGCTGCAGAGATCATAGACTGTGTACGGTCCTGTCCACTGTCTGTGAATACCAAATTCATATATTTTGTGTTTTATAGTTGTTTACAGTGGATGAGCATATCCAATACCAGTTATTTCTACATAGAAGTAAGTGGAGTTCTATTTGTTTTATGTTTGATCCATTGAAAGAGCCTTAATTGCTGGAGAAACCCTTAGTGAGACCCAAATGAGATATTATTCCCTTTTTTAAATATCTCATTCTTTTTTTGTTGTTTTTTTTATTTTTGTGCTGGGGTACATTGTGGCATTTACAAAAGTTCTTACAATATATCAACTATATCATACTTCAATTCATCCCCTCCATCATTCTCCTTTGTTCCCCTTCCTCTATTCCTGGAATAGTTTCAACAGGTATCATTTTTCCATTTACATGCATGTGTACACAGTATTTGCACCATATTCACCCTCTTACAGTCTTTCCCCACATTCTCCCACCTCTAGCTGGTACCAACCACCTTAGACCACCGGGCACTAGTGGCTCACACCTGTTATCCTAGCTTCTAGGGGATCTGAAATATGAGGCCAGCTAGGAGGAGGAGGGGATGGTGAGAGCTCAACTCAACCAATAGCTGGGCATGGTGGCACATACCTGTCATGCCACCTGTATGGTAGTCAGATCAGGAGGATCATGGTTCTAGTCCAGCCCAGGCAAAAAGATTGTGAGATCCTATCTCAACAAGAAAAGCTGGGCATGGCAGCATGTGCCTGTCATCCCAGCTACTTCAAGAACCGTAAATATGAAGATTGCATTCCAGGCTAGCCCAAGCAAAAAGCAGGAGTCTATTTCCAAAATAACCAGAGCAAAATGGACTGAAGATGTGGCTCAAATGGCAGAGTGCCTGTGTGGGAAGCCTTTTGTTCAAACTCCAGTACTGCCAAAAAAATATATATATGTATATGAGTGTGTCCAGAATGTATCTTTGGACACAATACCAGTATCATCAGGCTTTTCTTTTATGTTAAAAGATTTCTTTTTTTTCACACTACAGTTGGTATGCATATCTATTAATCTTTTCTTCTACAGTTTCTTTTTTATGAGGATGGTAGGGATCAAATTGTAGGCTTCAGGTCTTGCTAGGCAAGTGCTCTACCACTGAGCTACATCTCCAGCCCCTTTCTTTATAATTTCTGAGTTTCTTGTCATGCTTGGAAAAAATTCTCATACCCTATTGTTGCAAGAAAAAAGCTCTCCCATATTTTTTCTGGCATTTTATGATTTCACTATATTTACATTTAAACATTTATCCATCTGACATTTGTTCTTTATCTTTGAACTTGTGGGGGTTTTTTTGAGGTGAAATTCACCTTACATAAAATTAAGAATTTATAGCAAACAATTCAGTGCCATTTGGTATATTCCAAACATTTTTATCACCCCTAACGAAAGCCTTGTATGCATTAAACATTAGTTCCTCCATTCTCCTTATCCTCCAGCCCCTGGCAAGCTCCATCTGCTTTCTGTCTCAGTGGATTTATACCTATTATGTATATTTCATATAAATGGAAGCATACAATGTGACCTTTTCTGTCTAGCCTCTTTCACTTAACATAATACTTTTGAGGTTTATTATACTATAGCATGTATATTTCATTCCTTTTATGACTAAATAATATTCCATTGTAATGTCTACAGCACAATTTGTTTATGAGTTCACCCATTTATGGACATTTAGGTTATTTCCATCTCTTGTCTGTTCGGAATAATATTACTGTGAACTTTATATATGCAAGTATTTGAGTACCTATTTTTAATTCTTTACCTAGGGGTGAAATCGTGCCATTTATTCTTATATGAAGAGTGAGATATAAATTGAACATTTTTTTCTCAAAAGGCTATTTCTTTGTCTTAGCCCTGTCTCATGTTATCTTTCTTTTTATTAATTTAAGATACTTTGTTTGCCATATGCCAAATTTCCATGTGTACTTGGATCTGTTTCTTAACTGTTTCTTTCCATTGTTTGTATCAACTTGTATGCCAGTGCCACAGGTTCTCCCCCTTTCTGATCATTTAATTACTGTTTTAATATTTAGAAAAGAAAGTTTGCTCCCCACCTCAACCCTATGCCCAGTTACTCTTTTTGTTACAATTGCCCTTGCTAATTCCTTGCTTAGTCCTACAGATAAACCTTTCATTTTTTTCTATCAATGACATTGTGAATACTTAAGTAATATCTTAATAGTCTCATGAGAAATCACTGTTTTAGTTTGTATTTAAGAAAATGATCTGATGTGGTGCTGTCCTAGGACTCAGGAGGCTGAGCAGACTGATTGCAAGTTGGAGGGCAACCTGGGCCATATAGTGAAGCCCTGTCCAAAAAACGGCAGGGGGGAAGGGAAGGAAGGAGAGAGAGGGGGATGGAGAAAGGAAGAGAGGGAAGGAGGGAAGGAGACAGGAAGGGAGGAAGGGAAGAAGGAAGGAAGGCCAATTATCATCTCTTTAATGAACTTGGGTGTTCACAATAATTTTGTAAATGCAATTTCACATTTTTAGGTGGACTTTGACTTTCTTTTCCAGCTTTAAAATCTGAAGGTGATGATTACTATATTAATGGTGCCTGGACAATTGACTGGCCTAGGAAGTTTGATGTTGCTGGGACAGCTTTTCACTACAAGAGACCAACTGATGACCTGGAATCATTAGAAGCCCTGGGTCCCACCTCCGAAAATCTCATTGTAATGGTAAATGTGTCTTTGTCATTTTATTTGTTACTGTTTATAATTTCCCCCCTCCTGAGATGGGACGGGATCAGGTTTTATTATGTCTGTTCCACAGGTGGTGAAATTAAGGTAAATAAAGGTAAAATGATTTCCCCAATGGAACAGAATCTGTGCAGTTAAAGCCATAGTGCTCTTTCCATATGACTGTTTTATCTTTTCTATGGCTTTTAAAAATAATATTTTTATAACCAAAAAAGACAGATGAGAGAAATATCCAAAACCACCCATGAAAATAAGAGAAAATCTTAGATAAATACATGTGTTTTAAAAACTGTCTTGAGTTGGAGGCCAACCTGAGCTACATAGCATATAACCCTTTAAAATAAATAAATAAATAAATAAATAAATAAATAAAATTGTCTTAAATTTCATGTAAGACTTGTTCCTATGACATATTCTTCTTCAAAAGAAATATATGTGAATGAAGGCTCATTCTATTTTAATTATCTTCACCAGTTGTTTTCAATGGCAGGTTCTACTACAGGAACAGAATTTGGGAATTAGGTACAAGTTCAATGTTCCCATCACTCGGACTGGCAGCGGAGACAATGAAGTTGTCTTTATGTGGAATCATCAACCTTGGTCAGAATGCTCAGCTACTTGTGCTGGAGGTAAGACACCCACTAGGCAGCCCACCCAGCGGGCAGAACGGAAAGCAAAACATACACTCAGTCATGCTTTGTGTTTGTTGAAGAAGCTAATTGGAAACATTTTTTGCAGGTTTGCTTCAAGCTGTAATTTAGCAAGAGAAACTTTATTTTAATTATATTATATTCCATTTGTTTTCAACCTCATGTAATTTATACAGATTTGTTGGTAAAATACATCTTGGCACAATGAGTGTCTCTGCCGGTGCTCCTCCCAAGACTATCTTGAAGGTGGGCTGTTTGCTTTTCATGAACACATTCTTGGTAAAGAACATCAAGAGTTTTAAATAAGAAAATGAACAAAAATCAGACGTCACAGATGCAACTTCTTGTAATGGGGGATGACAATGTATGTGTGCTTGTGTGTTTGTGTTTGTATGATTGTGTGTTTCCCACAATCCTATTCAAACTCCCCTTTCCAGCCATCAAAGTTAAGGGGCTCTATACTGGGATGCTACGATAATTACTGGTGTCTGGGTTTCTGGGTTAATGGTCTATAGTGACCCCATTATAATGGCTTTAGAGAGGTAGAGGTAGCTGCTAGGCAGTGGTTGGTGATGTGTTGGTTGTCCCATGTGCGTTTTTCATGGGTGCCTTTTCCCCACAATTTACTCTATTCCTAATCCTCCTCCCTCTAGTGGCCACCAATGCAATTCTTTACCTCTGGCTGGGAGAGCAGGACAGTTGGCTTCCTTCAAAGCCAACACCCTTGCTGCTGCATGGACTGGTGAGTAGAAGTGCTGTGCAAGCAGCATCTTCCTTCTCTCTGGAGACTAAATGCATCGCCTCCACCATATAGTTTGATGCCAATAGGCAAGGAAACAAACCTGTCCCTCAGACCTAGGCTGGATTAGAACATCTCACCACTCCAAAAGCAAAGATTAAGCTTTGAATATCTAGAATAGGTGAAATTGAAATGAAGTGAATCATCCAATATATTGACTATATTCCCATTCTAAATTGTAGAAACATATGATCTCATGTGGACTTTATCCTATCTTGTCCTGTATTCACCGAATTTCTAAATACCTCTGTTTTTTAAGACTTGAATTGGAGAAATTATTTTCAGAGAAATGATTGTTATGTAAGATTCAGTATTTATAGAGTCATAAGAATTAAATCATCAATTAATTATAACTCCAATTTCAATAGTAAAGACTATACAACATGAAAAAACAAAAAGCAAATGAATAATAATAATAATATATTAATGTTCTCTCCTTTGTGGAATATCATGAAATACGGTTATGTATAATTTGAGCCATATTTTAAAAGTTTTCTAATTTCCACCCATTTTATATATAAAATGGCTGGTGGTTTATAATGTAAAGTTTTAAAAATAATAACACATTAACCATTTCTTTTAATAAATTAAAAGTATTTCCAACTAATACCACTGTTGAGTATCCTCAACTAATTCACTATTCAAGCAAGTGCTACTGAACTATATTTTAGTGACATTTATATACACATCTTCCTTTATTCCAATTAAATTCCTGTCATCATTGTATAAATTAACCTTCCCCTTCCATATACCAACAAAAAGCCTTCATTAAAATAATAAATATATAATTCAGATCCTGAGGTAAAGTGGGATAAACTTATTAGAGAGATCCAAATAATTTAAAGTGTAGGAAATCAAATAATAAGAGCCTAAAATTGGCTTTGATTAGCTTAGAGAAGAGAAGACCGAGGAGAAACATGTTAGTATCTTCAAGTATGCGCCAGAATGTTGAATGGGAAATTCTTGGTGCCTGTTCTTCTTTTGCTGAAATTGCTATATTTGGGGATGGTTTAGACACAGTCTTGTCTGAGGCCAAGGAGGGATTAAGTGAATTCTCAGTGTTCCTTCAACCCTATAATTCTATTTGTTCAGAGAGCAGGTAGTCCAACAAAAAAAGCTGGCAGGGGTGGGGGGTGGGGATGGGGGTGGGCAGGGAGGTTGGGGAAAATACCATGAGAACTTAACTTAAAAGAAAAAGTATGATTTTGTTGAATCAAAAAATATGAAAAAACTAAACAAGTGTTATTCTTTTCCATAACACTTATATTGAGAAATACAAATGATTTCTTGGTAAGACAACAGAAAAGCAGAAAGGGAGAAAAGCCCCATGGGAGGAGAGTTTACTCTTCTTTCTTTATCATACTTCTTTCTTTGATTATGGAGCTTCTGATCTTAGGTATTTGAAGTGCTTCTGGGAACCAAATTCAGCCTTGTTGTGAGTGATTATGATCATTCATAATGAGACCATTCATTTTCTTCTTTGGGAGAGGAAAGCGCAGTGGTGGAAAGCTGGCAGGCATGGTGTGAATAACTGTTTGTCTTAGCAAGTGGTTCTCAAAGTAAGGTCCCTGAACCAGCAGCACTGTCATCACCTGGCAAGTTGTTAGACATGCTAATTTCTTAATAGCAACTCTTCGAGTAGGGACCAGGAATCTAGTTTTTTAACAAGCTTCTCAGATGATTCTGATGCTCACTCAAGTTTGTATATCACTAGTCTTGGCTTTCAGTGAAACTGAAGCCTAGCATTTGCCATACACACAGAATCCATGGCCTGATAACTGAAGCCTATGCATCTTTGTAGACTCATTTTGCACCTAGAACAATGTCTAGAACATACTAGGTGCTCAATAAATGTTTATAGACAATGAATGAGTGAGAGGAATTAATTTGGGTGAATTTATATGTGTACCCAGTCTTACCAGTACACAAAATGAGAGTTTAAAATTGCTAGTTTTTTTATTTTTTAATGGAATGGGACAAAGCAATTGGAGGGACAAATAGAATCTAACAGCATGAATAAGTAAAACTGAGTTCCTCTTATTTGTTTTCTATACTTTGAATAGGAGGAAACTCTAGGAGTAGGGCAGGTATAGGATATAGAATATCCTAGAGTAGATAGATACTCTCGTGCAGATAACAATTATTTAAGTTACTTTTCCTATACATACCCCTGCTTTTAACCCTAGAATCTTTAAAGGCAAGAAGTTCATGTTTGAGAGAAATAAAGTCCCTTCAGGCTCAGGAATCTTAATCAAAACAAGAGCTAAGGTCGTCCACTCAGTAATAGTAAATGAAACCTCATCTACAGTTCAGAAACCTTTCAAGAAAAAGTAATTTCTACTTTACTTTTCTTTCCAAAACTAAGGATGAATACTAAAGTCAGTTCCTAATTGTGATACACTTTCATCTCCCCAGGGAGGTACTAGATAATCTTGATGCTGTTTCATTTTTTAATGGAAAAAGAGAAAGCAAAACATCTCAAAGAACTTTGAAGTACAGCCTCAAAATATTCCTCAAAGTTCTTACCTGTTAATGTCCTGCATATGTTTTATTACTGTCAAGGCTTTTGAACCTCAGTTGAGTTAGGGAGCAATAATGGTAGTTTTCTCTTATGAGATCTTTTTAGATAAGAAGTTTTGAGACTGTTTTTCTGTTGCTTAGCAGACCCAGTGACAAATCTAATATGCAGGAAACTGGTGGTGATTCAGTAGAAGTAATGGCCTTCTCTCTGAGTCAGTGATGAAACACTTCCTTGGGCTGAGTGGGAACATTGAGATGCTGTGGGGTGTTGCCTTCAGGATAAATGTGACTCTTCCTCTGTAAGAAAACCCAGTGAATTAAAACTAACCTATTTTCAGAACTGTTATTACTCTTAGCATTTCTTTATTCCTTATCCACATTACTGCATACTTTGTAACTCATTGAGTCCCAGAATTTTGTACTGCCATTGGATCAATGACTATAATAATGTGACAACTGATCAAGCCTGGCTAAGTAATGAAGGTTGTATTGGTTCAAAATACAAAGCTTTAGAAGTTTTTTGTAGTGATTTACCATATACCTTTGCACTGTGATTTTTAAAGGTTAAAATGACAAATGTTGTATATTAATCCTTTGATTTTAGCCATGTATACTCTGTTTGGCTAGATGTGTGTGTGGTTCTCAAATTTGAGCATGTATCAAAATCACCTACAGGGCTTAAAACACAGATTACTAGTTCTGCCTCTGGTTTCTGATTCAGTAGGTCTGGTTTAGGCTCTAAGAATTTACATTTCCAACAGGTTTCCAGGTAATGCAGGTTCTACTAGTTTAGGAACCACACTTCCAGAAACTCTGAGGTAGACACATAGATTTCCTAAAGTAAATGCCTATTAAAGCAAAGTGACTAATTTTTAGGTAATAATCTATTTTACAGTCGTAATCCACATTACCACTAGTCTTTTAATTTCAGGTGGTTCTACTGCTCAGCTATATAATAATGAATAAAAATTTTATAGTTTACAAATATTTTCAGATGTCCAGCTTCATTTGATTATCCTCAACAGTCACATCAGGTAGGCATTGCTATTATCATTCCTATTTTATAGGTAGACTTCAAGCGAGGTAAAGTAACTCGCTGAAATCCAGATTTAGGAATTAAGTCTCTAGTGATCTTTTAATGTAGCATTTCTCTAATAATAAAAATGTCTGTGCTTAAACAGAGCTTTTTTTTGCTACTTAGCATCTCTATAGAGAAGCATGTTATATACTCACTCAAAAATATCTCCTTCACCAACTAAAGTTCTTTTCAAATATTTTACCTAGAGCAATGGTTCTTAATTTCAGAATACAGTGGAAACACCAGGAGAATCTTAAAGTTCTCAAACTTGCCCCCATGTCCAGTATTATTTAACTGGTTAGGAGAGTGGCCTGGACATCAGATATTGAAAAGACCACTGGGCAGTTCTCATTGCAGCCCATGTTGGCAATTACTGCCTTTGATATGGACTGAAAGTTTTAGTCCTCAAAAAAATTAACATTCCAATGCAAATATCTCTGGCAGCGTAACTAACGCACATTTCTTATTAATTGCCTCCTTGTTAAATGCAGGAGTTAATGAGATTTAAGAATAAATATTTGAAGTGAGAAAATAGAGATCTACTTCAGAGAAGGGGATGGAAGCAGTAGTAGAATGCCAGTG